AGGGAAAATGGCTATTACAGTATATTATATCGTTATATAAACAAGTTCCTTTAAATGCTCAGATATGAAAGCCATGTGAGTTAACAGGGACCCACCTGTTTCCTCTGGCATGTACTATTTGCAGTGCAGTTGGCTTCCCTGGCCACTCTTTCCCACGGGCAGGGCTGTCTCTAGCTTCCACATGCCCTGGCATTCTGGTCCACACCTTGGACATGATCTGACTGAAGATCCCCTAACATCACCTTACAGTGCTGTCTCCACCCTGTACCAGGAAATCTCCTGGCTGAAGATGGGTAGAGTGCCCAAGTTGAGGTATAAACCAGGGCAGAGCTGGGTTGTCTATACTGCGTCCATGACCCGGCCCCATGACTGCTGTAGGGTGAACCAGGTCTCACCTGCAGGTGGAGATGACCCAGAGGTTTTCTGCAGTGGTCCAAATGTCCCCACCAGAATTCATGTTGGAACCTAGTTGTCATTGTAACAGCATTACAAGGTGGACCTTCAAGAGTCAGTGAAGCTATGAGGCTCTGAATGTGTTGGTGCCGATGTCATAGGGCTGGCTCCTGAGGAAGGGATGAGCTGGCAGGACTGTCCTGACCTGTCTCACCTGCTCACCTGCCTGTCTGCCATGCAGGATGCAGGAGGAGGCCTGTGCCAGATGCAGCCTCCAGTTAAATTCTGTCTCTCTCTGTCTCTGTCTCTCTCTCTCTCTCTCTCTCCCTTCATTTTTTGTTCCGTTTTACTCCCCCCATCTTAATAAACTACTTACCCTATTTCTAAATAGAGTAGTTATCAGGCTTTATCCTTTTGTAGATCTAAATCAAACCTAACAGTTCAAAATGCAGCCAAAATGTGTTTCCTGGTTGAGGCCAGCTGTTCTCATTAGGCCTCTTTATCTGTCTTACCTGTCTTCTGTGTTGGCAACTGGCTTCCTTTCTGGGCAGTTTTCCACTTAGAAGGGTAATTTTATTTTTAGATATTATTGCATCAAGTAGAAAGCAAGTAAGAAATGGCAATTTTGATACTGGACCGCTGGCCAGGCTCACTGCTAAGGTGCTTCCTTCCCTCACCAACCCCAGCACAGGTGATCCAGTGAACACCTTGGCAGAGTCACAGGCCCGAGCCGGCCCTGGGAATCTGAGCTGTGGTGCACAATCCAGTCCCACCCAGTAGTGCTGGATTTAGGCCCAGACACGCAGCAGCTGCCCTGGCTGCCTCTGCAGGGCACTGCCCATGCCTCCTTCTGCTTCCTGTTCCCTGTGCTCCACAGGCCACCTTCTCTGTGTCCAAACTTCCTGCCTCTCCTAATCCAGCCTCTCTTGTCGCTTCGTGCCTCCCTGTCCCCTGAAGAATGTGTCCTCTAGGGCCAGGAGTTTAGCTCAGTGGTTCTACCATCTGCCTCACAAGTGCAAGGTCCCGAGTTTGATCCCCAGTACCAAAAAAAAAAGAATGTGTCCTCTTTTGTCCTGTGCACCGCCCCCTCCCCTTGTGTTGCTGTTACCTGTGGCCTTGGGGATAGTCCTCCTTTAGCAAGGTCCTCTGGTGTGCATCTTGCTCTGTCCCCAGCCCGGGCAGATCTGGTGCCTAGGCATCCATGCAGCAGGTTGGTTGGCACCCGGCTTCACAGTTCCTCCACATCACTTCTCATCACCTTCTCTTCTTCCACTGCTTCCTAGGCTCCCGAACTCCCTCTATCCATTCTCATCACTCTCATTCAGATCATGGGTTCTGCCCACGCTGTCACTAGATAGCACTAAGCAGCCCTTTCTCTTCTCTGCTCTGCACATCAGCAGTTTGGAACCTGCACAGGTCTCCTTATCACCCTCGGGAGGCAGAGAGGAGGATACCTAGGAAGGAGGCTGCTTCCACTCCAATGCATTCACCCAACCCTGTTGTCTCAAAAGAAGGGAGTCTCCTGGCTTGTGCCCAGGTCATGGCACTCACCTTGCAGACCACTGAATCCTCTCCACTCCTTCCTAATCCTATGGGTGACTTCCATTCTGCATCGTTCTCTGACTCCCCATTTCCTCTTCCCATCACAGCCACGCTCTTTGTAAGAGCTTTCCAAGAAGCTATTAGTATTTTTTGTCTACAGTGTCTGACTTCGTTCTTCAGCAGACCGTAATTAGGACTTCGTCCATCCCTAATGGCCTTGACCATTTTGTTTCCCTTTTTGTGGGTAGCCCCTAAATAACTCTGACCAGAATCCCTGCTGTGCCAGATCACAGGTATTTTCAGCTTAATCTCTGAATCTACAACTCATCATTTTATCTCAACATTAATTCCTTCTCAAGAACCTTCTTTATTTTATCTCAGTCTTGGTATCACAAACTCTAGCCGGGGATTTAGCTCAGTGGTTTTGCTGCCTGCTGCACAAGTGCAAGGGCCTGAGTTTGATCCCCCGTACCAAAAAAAACAAAAACAAAACAAAACAAAAAAACAAACTCTAGGGTAGTAGTGGTGAGCCTATGGCATGCATGCCGCAACTAACTATTTGTATCATTGAAAGCTCTAAAAGGTTTGCTATCACTGCCCTAGGCCCAAGAAAGCAAGGAATCCTTTCCCATGTGACTCCATTCCACTCACACCATAATGCCAATCCCAGCACCAACTCTTTCTCCCAGGAGGAGACGTGTGAAGTGACTTCCCTCTAACCTCTGGGAATCTTAAAAACAAGAGTGTTGCTTGAGGGAGAAGCTGGGAAGGCAGAGCCATCTCATCACTAAATGTCCCCTAGGAAGACAGACCATCTATCTTAACACTGAAGGTGACATCATTGGTCCTTGAAAACTCAGGAACCCTCCCTGGCATCAGTTGTAGAGCAAACTGTCCACACTGCTCTGGCCACTCCAGCCATCTCTGCTGCCCATGATGCCTTGGTGCTATGGGCTCCTGCTCCTGTGGTGTTGGCTGCTGCCACCTTGTGTGGTCTGGGGAGTAGGTCACAGGTGTCAGCCACAGGAGCATCACCTGAGGTTCCACCTGTCGTCCCCTCTGGCCTGGCACTGTGCTGCAGCCTAGAGGCCACCGCCCTAGTTGATGTATGCCCTGCATGACTAGGAGGTCAGTCTTTCTTCATGCCATGTACTCCTCCTCAGTGTGAGCCCCAGCTCAGCCTCTGCCTGCCAGGGGGATCTGGGGATTCCAGTTTGGGGTTAGTCTGAGCGCAACTCCCACGGCTCTGTGTGAACCTGAGTCTGTGGGATAAATGCCTGGGAGTTGCTGAGTAGTATGGTGAAAAAAAATGTCCAGTTTTACACAAAACTGCCATACCTAGAGCCACCTTTCACTTCATGGCAGTCTTCAGCAGTAACTGGGTTTGTCCATTTGTCCTTCCATTTCTGTCAGGTTTCGCTTGACATGTCTTCATAGCTCTGTTGGGTGTGTGCATATTTAGGGATCTGTATCTTGTGATTGCTAGCCTCACAGCACTATTCTGCAGTCTAATTGCCTGTAGCCATTTGGATGTCCTGTGGTGTCACAGAGACTGAAGCCTCTGGGGTGGATGTAGTTCTAAGAAGCAGGTAATGGGGCACCAGCAGCTCACTCGGCATCACTGAGGGTAAAGGCAACAAGTGCAGGGAAGCACTTGGTCTGCTGTGGAGAAGGTGTATGGAGGTGATGCTACCAAATGTGCACACTAGGGAACCAGGAATGCAGAGCTGTGCCTTTATGGCCACAGAACACCAGGCAGCAGGGGCCAGCTACACGGGTCAGGGCTGGCGGCAGGGTAGGCAAGGGAGAGGGAGCTGTGGTGCTGCCTCCAGCTAAGCAGGACTAGAATTCTCAGCTAAGGAAAACCCTGAGGGCAATGAGGGTTCCTCATTCTACTTTATAATTAACTAATTCCAGGGCGGGGGATTTAACTCAGTGGTTCCGACACCTGCCTCACAAGCACAAGGTCCTGAGCTCAATCCCAGGTACCAAAAACAAACAAACAAAAAATTAACTAATTCCAGCTTGGAAATCCATTATTCCCATTTTTTAGAAATGGTATCCCAAAGTAAATGCATGACTACTAGCAAAGAAGAAATGAAAAACTCTTTCCACATGGAGTCAGACAAATTGTTACACTCAACATCCTAACCTAAACTTGGCCTGAGCCGTCCTCCCCATAAGCTAGAGAGGAGGGAATGGAGGCAACTACACAGATCCATGAGGGCAGACAGACTCATGCCTGGTTTTGGTTTGGTTTGGTTTGGTTTGGTTTGGTTGTTTTTCTTTGGTTGTTGCTTTGGTGTTTTAAAACAGGACTTCACTGTGTAGTCCAGACTGGCCTTGCACTCCTGGTGATCATCCTGCCTCAGCCCCTTGAGAGCTGGGGTTACAGACATTTGCCACCATGCCCAGCTCATGCCTACCTTGAAGAGAAGAAAGAAGTGGGCCTCTCACTAAGCATGGTACACATCTGCAGTGCCAGGACTCTAGGATGCTGAAGCAGGATTGAAAGTTCAAGCCCAGCCTTAGCGATTTAGTGATTTAGTGAGACCCTGTTTCAAATTTTTAAAAGAGGTGGGAATACAGCATACAGCTCAGTGTGAAGGCCCTGAGTTCAATCCCCAGTACCTAAAAAAAAAAAGTGGGCTTTTCAAAGTTAACGAGGCTTATTCTTTTGTACACTTGAAATTTCTAGGTTAATTTTGCTTACAGCAGAGTGTGCATATTTCTTTGAGTCATGGATAGCAGAGATCAGTTTTATTCATTACAAGAACAGTTTTCAACCTTCCAACTCCAAAAACAGCTGTCAAAGAGTGTAGTTTGGAAAACCACTGAATTAGCATGTGAGTGAAATATCAAAACTACACAAATGTGAAAAGGTAAGTCAACATGTTTTCACAAAACATTCAGTTTTCACAAAACATTATTACCTCTTATCTTCTCTTACATTAACAATACAATTTCATTCAATTTTATGATTATAGTCTTTTGTGACTTTGTGAAGAATGAATACCTAGCACCTGTTTTAAAGTTACTTTTCATAGTTTCTCTTTGTCTTTTAGATTTCTTGTTTAAATTCTTGGTTATCGGAAATGCAGGAACTGGCAAATCTTGCTTACTTCATCAGTTTATTGAAAAAAAATGTAAGTGATGCAAAGCAGCCATACATTCACACATGTCCAATGAGAATGTGCTCAAGCTCAGATTTGCTTACAGTAAAACTCATTTTTTTGTTTCAGGGAAAAAGTAATTGCTTAAATAACTTTAAATTTTTATGTTCTTAAATTTTTAGTTACATGATTGAATTTTTACTGAGTTAGCATTTCAGTTTAATAGTGGTTCAGTATATAATTGTCTTCCTGGTGCTATAAGATATAAGATAATGGTGGTGGGCCAGCAGAGGGGGGCCCAGGCAGGAGCCTTATTTCCTGATGGAGCAACCAGACAAGCCCTGGGGTGCACTTCAGATGACAGGAGGCCTGTGGCCTCTGCCTCCTCTATCCTGCTTTGCTGGTGGGAGGCCAAAGTGTGAAAAGGACAACGGGTCCCTCGGGGGCTCTGGTCACAGGACCCTGGCTGCCACTGATGGGCGCTCCCCCCGGTAAATGAGGCTGGATCTTTACTCCAAATTGAGACCCCAGGGGACTGTGAGCTTAAAAGGCCCTTAAATAAACAATGTTGTGATCCTAGGAGGAACTGTGGAGAATGACCTCCCAAAACAGAATTAACTTGGCTAAATGAAATACACCTGAAGCAGGAATGTTGCAGTACCTCAGTGAAGGAGATGAGACAGCACAGTCTTGGCAGAGGGTGGTGACAAGAATAAAATTCTTATATTTATTCTGCTGCCTCTACTCCCATCAGTGAAGAGTTAGTTGGGACCCTTGCTCAATGGCTGTGTGCAGTGTAGACTATAGATTCAGTCCTTCCTGGGCTAAGTTTCTTTATAGGTTGCCAAATCTTCACATTGCTCAAGCTCAAAAAATAATGCCCTAAGGCCACCAGGCAGGCCGTGATAACCTTTCCCTCTTTTCAGGATCCCTGGAGGCCCCAACTGTTCCCAGGAGTGACAAGGGGTCACTTTATTTCTGTGGCTGAGTCAAAACCAGGGTGTTCCTGGCCTCCAGTTACTGCTGAAGCAGTCACCCATGTTCTGCTTGGCAGCCTCCCTCTAGCCCACTTCTCACCCTAGTCTGCATACCTGTCCTCTAGAGCAGAGGGCCCAGTCCTGTCAGAACTGGGCCGCACAGCAGGAGGTGAGCACCAGGGAGCAAGTGTAGCTTCCTCATGGCTCACAGTACCGCATGAGCTCCACCTGATTTCGGATCAGCAGGGGCATTAGATTCTTTTTTTTTTTTTGGTACCAGGGATCAAGCTCAGGACCTTGCGCTTGCGAGGCAGGCACCAGAACCACTGAGCTAAATCCCCAGCCCTGCATTAGATTCTTTTTTTTCTGCGTTAGATTCTTATAAGAGCTTGAGCCGTACTGTGAATTGCACATTCCACACTCCTTTGAATCATCTGAAACCATCCACTGTTACCAGTCCTTACCTGTGGAAAAATTGTCTTCCATGAAACCAGTACCTGGTGCCACAAAGATTGAGGATTGCTGCTCTAGAGCACCTGTTTTCCAGAGCAGTTGGAACAGTCACCCCCTCATTATTGACCAAGTGCCTGCCCTGTTGCTGGACACTGCATCCTGCACAATGATGTGTTGATAGTAGCCATCACCATGTGAGCTCTCAGTGGTGGATATCTGGATATCTCTGATTCGAGGTGGCCACTTCCTTCAAATGTACCATGGTTATAAAAAGCTTTATTGTCTCTGATAATAGGGACTGTGTATATTTTACTTAAAATGGTGCTTTTTATCAGTTGGTATTTTGGAGAAAGGAATAGCTAAGATAAACTGCATTTTCAATTGATATAACCCTTAATTCTAATGTTATCTATTTAAATCTAAACACCTGTTATGCTAATGTCCTAAAATTAAAAACTTTGTTCTTGTTTTTCTTTTTTAGTCAAAGATGATTCAAATCATACAATAGGAGTGGAATTTGGTTCAAAGATAATAAATGTTGGCGGTAAATATGTAAAGTTACAGATATGGGACACAGCAGGACAAGAACGATTCAGGTAGCTTTTCCTCTAATTTAATCAAAGTATTTGAAATAATTAATTGCATTTTTTTCACAATGTAGGGTCTCACTCCCCCAACCCCTCCCCAGCAGTGACTTCAGAAATTCCACTCCAGAAGCTCTTATTGATAAGACAGGTGAACCTTCCTTAGCTGCATGCAGCACTGATCCTGAAGATCACAATAGAGCTTCAGTGAGGCCTTGGAACTTAGAGGCCAGCACTGTCAGGAGGACACAGCACTGTGTCTCCATGGTATGCTTTCAGACTGAAATGAAGGCAAAGTAATGGCACAAACATATTTTTCTGTATTTCCCTTCTAAGGAGGAGTTTTTAAAATTGCATGTGATGGTTGTTCTCTTTGTTTCACACTGACTGAAACACGTTCTGACGAATGGCATACATCCCACAGAACATTCTCTCCTCCACTCTTTGGTGACAGTGCATTCGCAGCTGTGCTGAGGATGATGATTTCAGGGTATTGCTGATGAGACTGCATGGCTAGCCTCCTGCAACTTCAAGAGCAAGACAGTAGATGAACATTCTAAAAAGATCCAGGCCAGAGTGCTGTCAAAACACCAGGATGACGCACAAACCCAGAAAAGCTTCAAGAGGGGAAAACAGTCACATGTTATGTTGGAAATTAGAACTACATTGGACCATCAACAGCACTGGAAATGAAAAATACTGAAAACTCAGGAGGTTAAAAATGAAAGATACCTTCAGACTCAAAATTCTACACATAGCCCAACTGTAAATTAAGTGTAAACATAAAAGCAGAATGCCTTCAGATGTTCAGGAACAGGAGGAAACAAAGTTGTCTCATATCTTCTGCTTTAGCTCAGAGCACCTCCTTTACCAGGATGAGGCACAACCAGAAGGTAGGATGAGGCTCCAGGGTCCAAGGTCAGAGTGACTGCAAGGAAGGGCCAGGGTAGAATCCAGCATGTACCCCTGAGTGACCTCAGATGACTCAGACTTTCCCAAAGCAGGACCCAGTCAATACCAATACTCATAATTCAGAGTTTCAGGACATTTTACAGAACTACAGGACCAAATGCCAGAGGACACTGTAAGGTGTACCAGTGTAGGCGTATGTATGTCTCTATGCCCAGAGGGGGTGTACACATGTGCTCAGCATGCATCCTTTCCTGATTTAATCAGTTGATAAAAGAAAGACTAAATCTTCGAAGAAGAGAGCTTCTCTGGGGCTCAGAGCTCTTAGAAAGGAAGCCAGGAGATGGCTGTGTCATTTCAAGACACTTAGGAGCATTTTACTTTAAAACTATGTATATGTGTGAGAGCCAAGTATGGTGAGGCACACCTGTAACCCCAGGCAGAAGCAGGAGGATCACAAGTTCAAGGTCAGCCTGTGCAATTTAGAAAGGCCCTGTCTCAAACACAGAAGCAAAACAACTGCCAAAAACTTATGTATAGGTATTACATTGGTTAAAATTCCTTTTGCAAAAGTTTTAATACCTCCAAAAAGTATTTTCAAATGCTTACAGTTAGAGACCTGAATAATTCATGTAAAAAAATCACATGTCAACACAAAGCACAGGGCCGGGGATTTAGCTCAGTGGTGCCATGCCTGCCTGGCAAGCGCAAGGTCCTGAGTTCAATCCTCGGTACCAAAAAAACAAAGCGTAAAATAAATTAAGAAGTAAGTAGAAGCTAGGAGTGGTATAATCCTCTTGTAATCCAAACAGGAGGGAGACTGAGGCAAGAGGATCAAGAGTTCAAGACCAGCCATAGAGATCCTGTCCCAGAAAAACAAAAAGAAAAAAAAAGTATAATACAGCTCGGTCTGAGAATCCAACTGCCCTTTCTCAAAATGAGATGCACCAGAGAGAATTTCATTTTGGTACTGGGGAAAATCTGAAAGGTTGGTAATGCTGGGAGGAAGCACTTCACCAAAAACAAACCTTGAGGTTGCAAGGATGGACAGGAGGTCAAGCCCTGTATGGAGGCAGGTGAAACCGGGCACGAAGGAAGGCAGGCTCAGGAAGAGGTGGAGGAGCATTCTAGGGTGCAGCCTGGTGGTGCCCACAGGGGAGTGAGGGCCCTGTTGAGTGGCCATGCTCATCTGGGGACGTGTTGCCTTTTCACTCAAGCTGCCCCACTTTAGGGGACATCCTGCTTATCCTGGCCTAACGTCCACTCCTTCCTATTATTTTTCTGACATAATTTCCAGCAGAATAATCCCTCACACATAAATCAGAGACCAGGAGCCCTCTCTTTTGAATCAGGGTCTGCCCTATGGTGTAGTTTACAGAAGGATGTGGTTTCTGTGGAAAGGTGGTGTTTGGTAGTAAGGGGTCCTGATTGCTTGAAAGTGAAAGCCATGTAATTCTTTCAGGTCTGTGACAAGAAGCTACTACAGAGGGGCAGCTGGGGCCCTCCTTGTCTATGACATCACCAGGTAATGCCAGCTCCCCACACTGGAGGCCACTCAGTGCCCTGCATCCTGGAGGCCAGTCTTGGCGCGGTCCCATGTATGTGACTGTGTCCATGGGGGGGCAGCAAGGTAGCATCCAGAAAGTCCTTCAGCCCTTCCTTGTGTGTCTTAGAGGGCTTTGATCTGGTCCCAGCCCCTATTCTACCATACAGAGAAACATGTTTGTGAGGCTTTAGGTAGATAGAGCAATCCTGTTTTTCACTGCATTTCTTAACATGATGCCAGACATGTTTCTTAAGGCCCACAAAGCTTTATGCATGCCAAGACATTAGAAGTGAATTTCGAGAGGCAGAGGACACAGCCTCTGGGCTTAGACTGCCTGGGTTCAAATCCCAGCTCTGGCCATGGCCATGCAACTCCACAGGCACTGGGCCTTCAATATGGGGGCCTGAGTTGGTTTTTTTTGTCATTAATAACCATGTGATGTTCATGTAGTTACAGGAAGTTTAAATTAGTTAATATAAAACACAAGGCAGTAATTGGCCACATGTGGCAATTTAATTGAAACTGAGATTGAGAATAAGTTCCTTGGTCACACGACCACATTTCAGGTGCTCAGTACCACACATGGCAGGTAACTTTGGCATCAGACAGTATAGATTATAGAGCATCCTGTCCTTGAAGGACAGCACTGACCCAGGGTTTGCAGCAGCATCCTAGAAACCTGCAGTCCCAGGGCACTGTGGAGGGCTGCTACTGGGTACTAACCATCCAGGGAGAGGACCTCACATGGCTGCTTCTCTTGGCCATCCAAGAGGGGGTAGCAACTCCCAGTGCAGCCCTCCCTGCCCTGGCTCTGCTGGCAGTATGAGGCCTGTCCTGCCAAGGTGTAAGGCCATCCCACCAGCAGGGGTACCTGTTCATCAGTGTGGGAGGGCAGGAACTTGGTCCTGGGATGGACAGATCTGGACAGGTCCTGCTTTGCTCAGTGGCTATTTTGTGACCTTGGACTCTTGTTGTCTGTGGGCCTCAGGCTCCTCATGGAAAGGAGGATGACAGCAGTCATTGTTACCGAGTCCTTAGGAAGAGGAGTCAGCATGATGAATTCTTGTGGGAAAAAACGCCAGCAGCTCAGGAACTCACTAAGTGGCCTAGCTGGGTCCAGCACTAGTAGACGGCTATGGGTATGGGAGGGAAGACTTCTTTTCCTTCTGGACCTGGCATTCTGTCTCATACACTCTGTGGGTCTGGCATCAATGGGCATTCAGGGTGCCTGAGTTATCTTGAAGGTGCTGTTGTCCCGACCTGAATTGTTGAAAAGGCTTGTGAGTAGTGAGAGTGACTGGAAAGAGTTGCTAGTTTTATAAAATACATGTATTATTTTCACAATCTTATATTACGCAGCCGAGAAACCTACAATGCGCTTACTAATTGGTTAACAGATGCCAGAATGCTGGCCAGCCAGAGCATCGTCATCATCCTCTGCGGGAACAAGAAGGACCTGGACGCTGACCGGGAAGTCACCTTCCTTGAGGCCTCCAGGTTTGCACAAGAGAACGGCAAGTGACTTTCTCCCTCCCACCTTCTCCAAGGGCAGATCTGGGTGCAATGGCATTTCTTTGAGTTTAAGACATCTTGAGTTTTGAGATTAAACTGTACTTCAGAGATGTGGAATTTCCTCTATAAATTCAGGCATATCTAGTCTACTTTCAGTATATCACATTCTGCCTACAAGTTACTATATGAATAAAAGCAAATGAATTCACATTCTGTAATGACTTTTTGGTCCAGGGGCTCTGAATATTAGGTTTTGGGTTAGAGCTTTGTCCATGTATTTTGAAATCACGATGATGTTTTCATTCTAAGTAGAAAAGAAACCAGTTGAAGAAACATTTGGTTGACTGGCTTTCTTTTATTCACATTCAAAAATGACTGAAACTTCTCTGAATTGCCATACAGAATACACAAGACTGCCATGTAAAGTTAATGGTTGCTTATGGATAACAGGATGATAAAGATTCAGACATTTCAAATAACTTTAATTTTGAGAGTTAACCAAGAACTAGAATACCCTAGTGTCAATAATTATTTGGGGCCAGGGATTTAGCTCGGCAGTTTCACCGCCTGCTATGCACGTGCAAGGACCCGAGTTCGATCTCCGGTACCAAAAACAAATAATAATAATTATTATTATTATTTGGACTCTTAAGACCCCAACCTGCTCTTACAGCCTGATAGGTTCTCTGCTGAGAGTAAACAAGAGGAGAGCCAGTTAGGGTTAGTCTTTGAAGAGCTGTGGCAACACAGGACACAGGTCGGAAGGAGTGGCCTTTGCCCGTGAGGACCAGAGGCCAGAGAGGTGATGTTTTTCCCCGTATGAGCCACTGCACTGGAGCATTAACACAAGTAAGACCTCTCTGTCCCCTAGAAAGCATAAATGCTTGGGGGTTGTGTTTGTGGTAACACATAAACCCGGTGGAGAAGGACACTGCTGCTCCTCTGTAGCCAGCCTCCTCCCTGATGACCACTGCCAGGTGGAGCCATTGCTTGCCCACAGATCGGAGTCAGCACAGGGTGATTGTTATGGTTCAGAGACAGCATAGACACTCTATCATTTTACAAACTGTATTGATTCTGTGTTTATAGAAACAGATGGCCATAGGCCATGAGTTACATTTTCTCTGCTATTATAAGAGAATGCTAAGTAGCCTGTTAGTAGTTGGATATTAAGATCATCTTCTAAACGTGGCCTGTGCCTTGTTTGATGTCACTTTTAGAGCTGATGTTCTTGGAGACAAGTGCGCTAACAGGGGAGAATGTAGAAGAGGCCTTTGTGCAGTGTGCAAGAAAAATACTTAACAAAATCGAATCAGGTAAATCTCTTCCCTCAGTAGACACTCTTCTGTGTGTGTCACCCTCTGCTCCAGTGTCACCTTTTAATGAATGTAGGCATGATAGGCCCCACCCTCTCTTCGCCTACTGACCTGACTCCCCACTCATGGACTTGAAAGTCCCATGGCTGAGATTTGAACCACCTCTTGCCAGGGCGGTTTCTGCAGCTACCACAGGGAGTGGGCCCAGCTAGTGGAGAGAGCGGGGTTTCAGTCGGAGTAGGTGCTCTTAGAGTCGAGTCTCTTGGGGCCCCATCATATGCAGAGAAAGACTAGGCCTTGGGCGGTATCTGTCTGCAGCATGCTGATCTGCAGGACCAGAAATCCCATGTGGGGCTGGGCAGAGTGTGTGGGCTGAGGAAATTGCAAGCACAGCGTATAGGATAGGTCACTGTGGACTCGGTGTCAGGAGCCATGCAGTTGGGGGTAAATTATTTCTGAGTTAACTGAGTGCACCTCAGTTGCAGTGTGCATTATTGTATTTATTGCTGCAGTAAAAAATAATTTAAAATAATCCTAAAGTAGGCAGCAAAGGACTATGTAATTGCAGTTTCTAAAGTTGATCTTTAGGTTCCTTTCACCAGAATTATATGTGAGCATTCACCACTTAATTAATGCAGTCAAATATCTGAGTGCCTATCCTTTGTCAGGCTGAGTAAACCGCAGCCGCTGCCCTCAGGAAACTGTCTTTCCTGGCAGATGATTAAAAATAATTCTAATTCTCAGGATCAATGAGGTGATCAAGAGGCATACAAGCTGCTAGGGCAACATGGAAGAGGGGCCCTTCCCCAGCCCAAGGACAGAGGTTGCCAGGCAGGGCTTCCTGGAGGAGGTGGCTGTGTGTCTAAAGAGGGAGCGGCTAGGCAGATGATGGGGGACAGCAGTGGAGAAACTGAGAGCAGAAGCAGCTCTCAGTCCTCACAGAAGACATGGAGCCTCATCTTGTAGTCACTGGTTCTCACCCGAGCTGTGTCCTGATCCCCTGGGACCCTCTAGAAGTCCTAGTCCTTGGCCACACACTTGGTGCTGGCCTTGGTGTCCCACAAGTCTGACACCCACTAGGGATGGAGAATTCTGCAGGGAGAGCTGGTGAGAAAGAGATCAGACTATAACCCAAGGTGAGCCTTGCAGGAGGCTCTGGCATTCTTGCAGGGGGCAGAACTTCTGAGAACAGGAGGAATGGAACTAAGGCTCTGTGAGGATGCAGAAACAGAGATGACACCATGTCGGTGAACCCTGGACATGTGGACAGCAGTGTCAGATGGACTGAATGGTAGACAGGGCAGCTTTGGGATGGGGAGGGTGATGAGGAGGATCAGGGCTCACAACTGGATCACCTGGCAGGGAGGGGAGAAGAGGCAGGCATTCTTTGGGAGCTGAGATGACTCTGCATGGGAAATACGACGTCAGCTGTGTTCACTTGGGGGCCATCAGTGCCAGAGGTGACTGAGAGTAAGGAGCGTGGTCATCAGGGAGGAGCAGTGGTGGAGACACAGGCCTGGAAAGGATGGTGAGTGGAGCAAGAGTGACCTGCCTGTCATGGCTAAGGACAGAGTCAGAAGTCATAAAGAGCCTGGGCACACGGTCCATGGTTAATTCAGAGGGGAGGCCTCAGAGCTGAGGACCACCCTGAGACCTGCATGTGGTGGGAGTCAGTGGTCACCTCTATCAAGCACAGTCATCCTCTCCAGTGGGAGGGACCTAGGGCAGTAGATTTGGAGGGGCTGGAGCTGGAGGGAATTCTGACCTGTGTAATTTCTGGGAGAGGACAGGAGGGAGGATCAGGAAAAGCGATGAGCAAGGAAAGGACAAGGAATAAGTCTGGGGACAGTAAGGGGTCCAGGGCTGGTTGTCAACCTCAGACGGACACCACAACATTTTATGGTTTTTGGTTTTGTTTTGTTTTGTTTTGAAATAGGGTTGTTCTGTGTATTCAAGACTGGCTTTGAATTCATTATGTAGCCCAGGCTGGCCTCATATTTGCAGCAGTCCTCCTGCCTCAGCCTCCCAAGTGCTGGGATTACAGGTGTGCACCACCACATTTGGCTCTTTTTATTTTTTGACCAGAAAACAAAACAAAAAAAATTGCTAAGCATAGTACAAAAACTTAATGTTTTAAAGACTGTAAGGTAAATATTTATTGTTAAAACTGACATGGTATAGAGCATGACCGAGCTGCCACGAGATGTGGTGTCCTTTGATGTGGCAGGCCGACATCATATATAAACCTCTCCAAATGCATTTCTCCTGAGATCATCAAAACCATAATTATACCCAGATGAAAAAGTGTAAGGATATAAATTCAGATTCTTCAGCATTACTTTTTCATTGTCATTGTTGAACCCCATGCCCATGGGGTTCCGAAGCCATTGTTTCTTCCCCTTTATTACACAAACACGAGCACATGGTAGCTGCCAGGTCTTGGTTCTTTCACTTACACCTGCTGTTCATCACAAGTCCACGTCAGGAGTCTCCGTGCACCCGGGTGTATACATAACTCCAGAAATGGGGGCGTGTGTGTAGTGTGAACTGTTCTGCGTGTTTCCCCGTGACTGGGCTACCGCACGCTTCTGGCTTATGGCCAATATATTGGTGTTATAACCAGGCTGCAAGGGGGGACCTTCTCTGTGTCATTTTGCCCAGGCTGAGGGTGTGAGAGATGAGCTCCCAGAGATGGCTCTTAGGTTGGGACACCAGCAACTAGGAGCAGGTGCAGGCATCAGCTTTCCTCCCACAGAGAGGCACATCACGGAAGCCAGGGCCACAGGGTGTTTGTCAGAGTTGGAGTTTTACCTACCTAGTAAGAACAGTGGCATCTCCATAGTTTGATTTTAAATTGAATTATTTTGCACACATTCTTTATTCACATAATTCCAAATTCAGCATGTACTAGAGTATACAGTGGAAACCGCTCTCCAGTGCCACTTCTCCTGTCTGTAGTCATCCCAGATTGGAAGCCAGCCATTGTCACAGCCCTTTGTGTCCTTCTAGAGTTACTCAGTGTCTATGCACATAAACATTTGTTTTTCTTCTCTCTTCAACATGGTGGCATAGAGGCACAGTGTGTGCTTTGCTTTCTTCACTTCATGTATTTGGGGATCACAGAAACATAAGCATTCTTCTGAAGAAGTCTCTCTTGGTCCCCAGGTGAATTGGACCCGGAAAGAATGGGCTCAGGCATCCAGTATGGAGACGCCGCCCTGAGACAGCTGCGGTCCCCGCGGCGCACACAAGCCCCGAGTGCACAGGAGTGTGGGTGCTAGGAGCAGGTGGGTGCCTCCCAACCCAGCCCAGCCCAACGTGCTGAGCACAGAGCAGAGCAAGAGCCTAGTTGCTGCCGCATGGAAAGGAGAGCAGACAGGGTTGTGAGTGACAGAACTGACACTCCACAGGAACTCCTCATTCCCTTTCCAGAAGACTCTCAGCAGGAGTGGCTGAGACAGAAGCCCTTCTCTCAGTAGCCAGGCAAGACATCTTTGGCTTCATTGAGGTGTTCATGATTGTGCCTTTTGCCAAAGTATAAGGCTCACTTCTAAAATTGGCAAGTGTCTCCATTTAACTTTTTCTTTTTTTTTTTCTGTACTGGGGATCGAACTCAGGACCTTGTGCTTGCCAGGCAGGCACGGCACCACTGAACTAAATCTCTGGCCCTTCCATTTAACTTTTTAAACTTTACTCCTTTTCCCATTCCACGGTAGACTTTTATTCCTAGCACTCTTGAGTGGCTACGGTAGGAGGATCACAAGTTCATGCCCAGCCTGGGAAACTTAGTGACTAGTTGAGATACTGCCTCAAAATAAAAAATAAAAAAGGGCTGGCTCTGTAACTCAGGGTGAAGGCCCTGGGTTCAATCCTATCCTGCAAAACAAAACAAAACAAAACAAAAGATTAAGCAAAAGAAGAGGTATCCATTAATTTTAGGCTTTATTTATTTCTACATTTATAACCATGCAGATTTTTAAGTTGTTCTTACTATTTTCAGGTGTCTACAATGGAATTTGGACACCAGAGCTGGAACTCAAAGAATCTGAAGTTTTTTTTTACCACCATCTTTTTCTACTCTATGCAGAAGTAGATCTTTGTGGAGAAAAGATAGTGTGGGTGTTATGCAAGCTGGTTAGACATCCCCAGCAGCCACATAATGAATCTGACCCAGTGGACAATACCATCAGATGTACACACATGTGTAAAAACCTCCTGTTCCACTCTTTCCCTTTCACCTTCAGCTTGAACCATGACCTTGTACTGTGTATACCCCCGTACTTTTCCACCGCATGTATCTGGTGTATGGTATGATAGAATGTTGCGATGCAGTTTAATATTTTTTTTAATCATAGACACTGAAAATCGTTATAATGAGGTGTGCTTGCTCATCATATTGGTTATATTTATGACCTGATATTCAATGACTCTGGCATTAATAGCCAGTGTGTTACTTATTTAATTCTGCTTTCCACATTCTGCACTGTGTTTATGTGATCCACACTTGAAATACCAGTGATCATTCACTAACATCCTGAAATAAAGTGAAAGGCGGAGTTTCCCATGAACTGTATGCTGTCTGTTCTTGGTTGACTTTAGGCTTCTGCCCAGGTCAGCTCAAGTTTCTCACCTGTTGTCCTGGGCTGTTGTGGGCCACATGGCTGGCACTGGGATTCTTGTGCCTTTGACCCATCCTGCTAGGCACACGTCCCCCCCAGCACTGACGTAACATGGTGGGCACAGACACCCCGGCAGCTTCTCTGCTCTAGCTGCTGATCTGTTTGGTCTCCCCACTAGAAAGCACTTGGTCTGCTACTGTACTTTTTCTGGAATTCAGTACAAGGGCATCACTGCCTCTGTTTCAAATCGTCCATTGTGTTGTGTTCATTTCAAGGAGACCCACTAACTCCAGTGCATATTAAAAGGATACCACTTACTGAGATACTTCTTTCTAGCTTTTGTTGAATATTTAAATGCCCGCTACAGTTTCAAGTTGACCTGTTTTTAATTCACATAGAGTGCAGTGGGTATAGTAAAGTATCACATACATATATTGTATTATAAAGATTGTTCTTATATTGTAGAATACTGATACAAAAACTATATAATGAAAATGTTCTTTAAAGCTGAAATACAATATTAAGTGAGAAAGGTAGACTGCATTCTTTGCCTTATAGATGTCCTTCCACTATGACTTTTTAGCCATAGACTGGTAAATTTAGCAAACATTTGTTTAGAAGCTGCCTACTGCTTTTGTTGTCTTATTTTATTCAACATAGGTGACCAGCGACACAAAATGATTTGGCTAAAAATAACAGTATGTATCTGTTTTAGATATTTTACATTTTAGGATTTTTTTATCCCATTAATGTTTGTTTGGGTTTTTTTGGTACCGGGGATCGAACTCTGGACCTTGCACTTGAGAGGCAGGCCCCGGAACCACTGAGCTAAATCCCCAGCTATCCCATTAATGTTTTACTTCGAAAAGTTAGATTCTGAAACAAATTCTCAAACTGAACCACCTCTGGGACCCTGCTGGAGAGCAGTTCTCTCAAGTCTCACAGGATGGTCTTGCTGACTGCTCAGCTTGGAACAGCTCCTCGAGTGGGGTAGGAGCACACAGCAGTTCATTTGGGGTAAGAATTGTAAAATAAGATAAATTTAGAGTTGTTTTATAAGCAAGCCTGTAACTAATCCACAGATACCATATATTTTCCCATGTTCTGTGACCAATAAAAGTTGCTGGAGAACAGTCCCTAGTGACCCTTAGGAGGACAACTTGGTTTTGGGCAGTCTAGCAATAAATGTACATGTGTGTGTTCCACAAAGCATGACATTTACAAGACACTCTTACACTGGTGTTTTGGAAAAGTAATTTTCATCCTTTCTAGAAAAAGGTTGTAAACTCCACTTGAATGTGAGGTTGCAATTCTATATAGTTCAGCATGCAAATAAAAATGAGCACAGCACACTTAGCAAATCTGCCATGGTTTTATTGAAAACATAGCTCATGGATTTTAGAAGAGTTGCTGAAATGGTAAGAACATTGATTCCTAGCAGGTCTGCAATACTATTTAAAGAATCATGCCTGCCTCAAAAGTGCAAGGTCCTGAGTTCAATCCCCAGTACCAAAAAAAAAATCAGATGCTAAAATTAGGAACTTAAGTGATTTGTGGCTTCTGCTATGACAGCAGATGATGGGTTCATTTCCTATTATCTTTGTCTTTTTAATTTTTTCTTTTGGGGGGCAATTAGAGGAACTTTAAAATGCCTGAGAACTTTTAATAATTTGTTGTATGCTTGTGGTGAAGTGAGTCTCTTTCATGATCCATCTGACCATATAAATATTCTTTTTTTTTTTTTTGGTACCAGGGATTGAACTCAGGTCCTTGCGCTTGTGCAGCAGGCAGTGAAACCACTGAGCTAAATCCCCAGCCTGACCATATAAATATAACCTGAGTTTGTTTTGCTTGTTCCTCAGTTACTTCATGGTTGTATTAACTTCTTTAAGGGTCTGTGTTGAGAATTTTGGATGACACTATCTGGGAACATGAGGCTCAGCAGTCTCAGTACAAAGAGGACCCAGGTTGTCTGTCAGCCATCACCCCTGGAGGCTGGGAATATTCCTTTCCATGGCTAGGCCATCTTTGATTTTCTTTTAAAATAGCATTTGTATACTTTTTGATTGTTTTATAATTGAGATTGTAAGCATGCACAAGTATAGAGAAAATACCATAATGAATAAGGGCAGAGCTGCCATCTGTGGGCCTGATGCCTGGCATGCAGGAGGGACTGTGGTGCTCATGGAAAGGACAACCCCAGAGCCTGTGTCTACAGGGCTCAGCATGAGTAGATTTTTGGGGGGGGGATTGGTGAATTGAGACCATTAACATTGATGGTTAGGTATTGTCTTATCTCTGTCATATTATTTTCCTGTTGTTGGCTTCCTTCTTTCCTTTCCTGTTTAATTTCTTTTTTTTTTTTTCTGTTTAATTTCCTGCCTTGCCTGGTGGATCCATTCTGTTTGGCTTCATAGAGTTGCAATCTTTGTTAAGTCTCTTTCTAGAATATCCTTCAGAACACTTTGGAGTGCTGGTTTGGTGCTCATAATTTCTTCAGGTGTTCTTTGTCATGGAAGTATCTTATTTTTCCATCAATTTTGAAAGATAGTTTTGCAGGGTACATGAATCTGGGCTGGAGATTGTTTTTCTTTAGGGTTTGAAATACTTCACTCCAAGCTCTCCTTGACTTGAGACTTTGTACTGAGAAGTCTGCTGTGATTCTGATGGGCTTTTCCTTTTCTGATAGGTGATTTGTTTCTTTTCTCTAACAGCTTTTTCTTTGTTTGTTTGTTTGTTTGTTTTGGGTACTGAGGATGGAACTTGGGACCTTGTGCTCGAAAGGCAGGTGGCAGCACCACTGAGTTAAATCCCCAGCCCCTCTAACAGCTTTTAATGTTCTGTCCTTGTGTTGAATTTCTAGACTCTTGACTATTATATGCCTTTGTGAAGACTTTTTTTGATCATGGCTAATTGGGTCCTATATGCCTCACTTATCTATATGTCAAATTCTTTTTCTGTATTTGGGGAGTTTTCTGCCATTACTTCTAAGAATAGGGTTTTTTTATGTCATTTGTACTATCTCCTGCTTTTTCATTGACTCCAATCAAGCTTATTCTTCTTTGCGTCATCCAGTAGCTGCTGGATTGATTTCTTATAGTCCCTTGCTATTTTTGAGAAATCTCTCTTTTCATGATTGCTAACTGTAGTCCTGTCTTCTGTATCTGATATTCTGTCCTCACATTGGCTCATTCTGCTGCTTTCCATGGAGTTTTTAATCTCCTGGATATCTATTTGAATCTATTTCATGGATTCCATTTCTTGCCTATGCTGGGCATTCATGGTTTCCATCATGTTCCTGAGCTCCTTTATTTTTTTATTTGTATATACTCTAGAGTCACTAAGCATGTCTTTCATTCTGGTCATCATCTCTGTAGTTATTTGGGAAATTATTTCTGCTTTGATTTTTTCTGAGACCCTTGTTCATCTTTGTTACTTCTGCTGTTACCACTTCTGCTGTTACCACTTCAGAGAGTCCAGGTGGATGGCTTTCAAATTGTTCCACCTCATTGCCCCCAGAACCTGTCTTTGGTGAGCTGAAAGTCTGGGATGGGGGGCTGCATCTTGTTTAAATGTTGGCTCATTTTCTTTTTTTTTTTTTTAAAGTTTGATTCTCGGGTTGATGCTTATAAATTGCTTATGATGAGTAGCTTTATTTCCAGTATTCAGAACCCTTAGGAAATGACCACTTTTCAGAAGTGTCTTCCAGGTGTAGCTGGCTTTGGGGTTTTGAGTCTGTTGCAAGATCCTACCTCTTCTATTTATTGGGGATGAGAAGTTTCTGTCTACTTGGCCCAGCCATCAGTTCTTTGGTACTGACTGGCCTATAGGTTTGTTTGTTTGTTTTTTAAAGACTTGTAGGCAATCTCAGTCTTGGTATACCAGGTGGAACAACTGATTAGCACAATTATGCCACCTTGGCTAAAATAGTGAAGCAGGAAACAGTGAGGACCCCAGACAGATAATTCTTTAACACAAAGATAGGAGCAAAGAGCAGCTTTTAATGATGTTGGTGGCTCAGTGAGTGACTCCTGTCAGTCTCAAGAGCCTTCCTTATATACCTGTTTTTACTATGGAGCTCTGTGGAACTTAATTCCATTGGAGTTTCCCTGGGAATATAGCAAGCAGGATTTACACAAAGCAGAACACTGGAGAGGGAGAGAGCAAAGAGTTCTGGCAGGACTTTCTGAGTCCATTATGTTCCTTTGGTGACAGATTACAGAAGCTGTCATAGCTACTCAGGCACATTCTACAAAAAGCATAGTTACATAGTTAACCTATAACTATGTAACATAGTTAACCTATAACCTAATAACACAGTTAACTCATAGTTGTCCAATTCCACATAGAGGGGTGGAGGGGTGGTCTTTCAGTAATACAATCAACAATAACAATAGCATCAAATACAGCCTAGAAAATGACAAAATGTGGTAACTATTAATTTGCTACCTTTAACCATATAAACTATATTTGTGATTATATAATGAAATCCAGTTCAAATCTGGAAATTGTATTCAATATATAAGCCCTTAATATGGCAATTTTATCCTTAAAGGAGTAGATTTAAAAGGGATTGGGGGTGGGCTAGGGATTTAGCTCAATGGTGCCACTGCCTGCCTTGCAAGCTCAAGGTCCTGAGTTTGATCCCCAGTACCAAAAGGGGGGGGGGGGGTTAAAAAACAAATAGAAGAAAAGGAAGAGATCAGAAGCAAGGCTGGAGGACAAATTAGGAAACTGGTGAAGATGGCAGGTGAAAAAGAGAAAAGGAAAAAATAAAAACAAGAACAGAAAAGAGCAACAAAAAAATATGAGAAACTTGTTCAAATAATCAACAAAAAACAAAACAAGAACCAGAAAGGAAGAAAAAGAAAAAAAACCAAAAAACATCCAATTCAAGGTGTCTCTGCTGTTACTGGTAGTCAGCGAGGGCAAACAGGGTCCAGAGCCAAATTGTTTAATCCCACCAAATTAGCCACAGCTTCACAGTGGGGTAGTGTATAATCCCAGCCAGCCTGCCCCTTCAGTTCCTCTGAAGTTCAGGCTGGTTTCTAGCTATAAAGCTAGAACTGGACTTCTTGAGCCAACAACAATCTATCTGTTTCCTGCCAGCTTGAACTCCACTCCCTGGCCTCCTGCTGACTTGAATTCAGCACCTCCACCAAGATATCTGGAACCATGAGATAGAGTTTACCCACAGCTGTTCTGAATTCCAAACTTAGTTCCAAGATGGCTACTGGCCAATTGCTCTCTCATGTGTGAGGTCTGAACCCAGATAACTCACCAGCCACTGCAGTCTTCTGTGTCCACTGCTCCATTCCACTGC